ATATATATATATATATGTGCGCGCGCGCATGTGTGTGTGTGTGTGTGTGTGTGTGTGTGTGTTATAGTCTTATATTTTATATATAATAGAAATACAATTATTTTATAGTTGAAAAAACTACAAAATAAAATAGGTATGTTAAAATAGAAATATTGACGAAGATTTCCATATTCCAGAGAAGTTTATAGCTGAATATTGCTGCATTTTTAATGCTGCAATATTAATATTACTGGAATAATTTTTGCTATATTTAAATAGAATAAAATCGTAATAATAAGATCAAAACAATATTAGATATCATTTTAGAAAAAAATTTTAACGTTTAATTTTAACGTAAAATTTTATGTTCGATACATTTTTGATGATAATTTTGTGATCTTGACATAGTAATGATTTTTAAATAATTTTTTAAAAAACATTGTTAAAAAAGATCATAAATCATATCATAAAATCATAAAATCATCATCAAGAATATGTCGATTAACATCATTATTGATTTTTTCTAAAATGACTGCTAATTCTTGATTTTCTATGATTCTACTTGTATACAGGACGATAAGAATTAATGGAAACATTTCATGGAATGCATTAAATCTACTGAATTTTTCTTAAAAATTGGAAGGCACTCGGAAGAGATTCATCGAAGTCATTCGACGTATTTATATCATATGACGCGAATATGCAATCGATCGTTTATCGATCGCATTATAAATCGTGCAATCATAACTAATTGCGAGATCGATAAGTTAAGCGCCGCAGGTGCATGCTCACCTTATTACATCACTGTCACTCGTCTTTATCTCAGGCCCATCGAGTACACGTGTCGTCATATGAGAAACATGTTCCTGATTAATAAACGTGGAAAGAGAGAGAAAGAGAGATCGAGATCGAGAGAAAGAGGGAAGAAGAGGGAGTTAGACTTAGCGATCAGTACTGCGAATAAAAATAAAAAACCAAAAGAGGACTGCCTTGAATCAATATATAATTATCTGCGCATTTTCTCGGATCGGATATTAAAGGACTCGGATAGATATTACATATCTATAAGCATGCGACGGGATTGCTTACGTCACCGCGAGCTCGTTAAGTATGCAAGCCGCGGTCGATCGTCGATCTCGGCGATCTCGACACCGCAAAGATCTCTTTTCTTCGAGCGTATTCACGCGCAAATATAGTTCGAATCCTTACGCAATCTTCCGGTGTTGCAACACCTGGGAATTGTTAATAGGAAGGAAATCATGACATTCCACGACCCAGCAAACGAGAATGGATTGAAATGAATTGAAATGGATTCAGATTTTCAGAAATATTGAGTCAGGAGTATTAAAATGAATGCTTTCCAATTCTGAATGCATTTTTCTTCATTTATAAGAATTGCATGAAGTATATCTCTATGCCTTTCAATCTAAAAATAATATTAGTTTTTTCTGTGCATTGTGAATACTATTTCATCAATTCAAAATTTTGAATAGGAAATGCAGTTTTTCAATCCAATTGCATCCAATTGAATCCAATTAAATCCAGTTAAATAAAAAAAAAAATATTCGCTATTTAAAACATTCGGATAGAAAAAAATTTCAATTCATTTTAATCCATTTCTCGTTTGCTGGAAACTGCGTGATTTATAGAATTTCTTTTCTTGTTTTTTTTTTCTACTGATCTTGTTTTGCACCTGGGAATCGGTTGTGTATCCTGAAATAAAATGAAAATGAGAAAAAATGAACAAATTTATTAGAATACTTATAAGAAGTCTGTCGGCATTACTTGCACTTTTTGTATTATCTCTACAGGATCTTCGCTTCTTTTCTCCCTCTTTAATAGCCGAATGTATATTTATTTCATTTTAAATGTAAAATTCTTGGATATTTCAAGCAATGCGAACACATCCTAATTTCATTGGTCAACATCTAATGAATTTGTTCACTTTTGTCATTTTTATGTACCTTGTTTCAAAATATACAATCAACTTCTTGATTTAATCGTAACTCAATTTTCCGTCAGTCAAAATTTTAATATTCAAGATTATTAATTTATCTTTGATACTTTAGAATTATTTAATTGGAATAGATTTCAATCGGAATGATTTAATTATTTTCTAGATTTTTAATGTGCGTTTTATAGGAAAATACGGAATAATTCCAATTGAAATCCATTCTAATTAAATAATTGGAATAATACGTGTTGTTGATGCGAGATTATGTTGAAGTGAAAATCACTAAAAAATGTAATAGTTATCGAATATTATCGAAGTTTGATAAAGAATGTAGGTTTTCATTTTCTTTCTTTTTTTTTAATCATGCTTAGTTCAAAAGTTACGAGACGCTTGAACATCATACTAGAGAACGTTTAAAAAATTTCAAGTTGAAAAAGATCGTAACGACTTATAAAATCGCAAGGAAAAAAAAACGGTGAAGTTCATCGGGGTTAGTGGCTAATCGACATAGAACCGGACATAAGATGTGATATAATCATGATCATGATGTAATCACGATATTTTCTAGCTGTTTATATATCGCATAAATATCTGCAAATGTCACCTGCTGTCGCGATGATAATTAATTTTCTCAATAACAGATTAACCAGGGATAAATGATTCGCAGACTGATTGATACTGATTCCCAGACAGCACAGAATATTTATGATAAATATTTATTGATATTCATTTTTTGAAATGTTATATAGATTTTTCATACATATTTTATATAAAACTTTATTCGAAATATTATTAAAATAAAGACTAAATATTTTACGTAATATTTATGATAAATATAAATAAATATAAATAAA